TATCATTCAACTCTAATATATTACTTTTTTTTTTTCTTTAGTCGCTTAACGTATTGCATTATTTTTTTTCTTTGATCACTTCATTTTGATCGTTCGACTTTGCTTTTTGTCATTCAACAACTAATTAATTGCACCTTTTTTTTCTTTGTCGTTTTACTTCATTCGACTTTGCTTTGTATCATTCGACTTCGCTTTGTGTCATTCGACTTCACTCGCATCGTTCAACTTCACTCAATAACTAATTTATTGCAACTTTTTTTTTTGATCACTTCATTTTTTATCATTTAACATCTAACGCATTGCATTTTTTTTCTTGGTCACTTCATTTTGTATCGTTCAACATCTAATGGCTGACCTGTATTATAGTCAGGTACGTATATTGTTTTTTTTGATCACTTCACTAGTTTGTTTACAATATAGTGATTAATTTTTTTTTTTTGCCTTTTTTAATTCATTTGTCATAGCAATATGATTGAAGAAGAAGGTTTTCTCAATGTTAATGTGACTAAAGAACCTGAATTTGAAGAAGTGTCTTCTGGAGATGAGGTGTCTCAAGATGATGATGATAAAGATATAACTCAAGTAGCTGGATCTGACCAACCTAATTTTTTTTCTAATGAGGTTACAAATTCTGACATTTTCTGTGGAAAAGTTTTTTTATCATAGGATAAATGTAATCTTTTTATTACTGAATGATCAAAAAAAAATGGTTTTCATACAAAGAAAGATCGCATGCAATGTGAAGGAAAAATTATTCGACGATATACATATTTGTGTGATTATAGTGGTTTTTACAATTCTAAATCAAAAAAAAGGATACATCCACGAAAAAGACCAAATGTCCATTTCTTATTAACGTGTCATGTCCTAAAGTTAAAAATCTGAATTCCATTGTCCAGGTTAATAAAGTTAAAATCAAACATAACCACCCTTTAAATATTGAAATGATTGCTTTTGAAGAAAAAAAAAGTTTTCACCTGAAATGATTGAAGATATCAAGTTTCTAACCACACATTGTAGATTCGGAGCAACAGTTCAAAGAAAATTTTTAGAAGGAAAATATCCTTCACAACCTATTTATTCCAAGGATTTGTATGCAGTTATTCAAAAATTTATACCAACTTCTGAAATGTTATTGAATGATGCAGCTTCAATGTCCAATTGGTTGGATAATAAAAAAAATGAGGATTCTCGGTGGGTTATTATAAGGGGATGGGATGATGACAATTCACTAACAAAATTATTATGGATGACCTCTGAGCAAGTCGAAAATTGGATCAAAGAAAAAAAATAATGCAATACGTTAAGCGACTAAAGAAAAAAAAAAAGTAATATATTAGAGTTGAATGATA